GCTGTTGACCATTTCTCTGGGACTGGATGATAAATTGCCTTATTTCTATACATAAACAAAGGACTTGCCTCCCAGTGAAGCAGGTGGCCGGAGGAAAGTAGCTGCTCCACATCAGGTTTTATGGACAGTGCTTTGTGACAAATAGCACTGCCTTCAAACAAGTAAAGTATGTTCATTGTTTTCCAGAAAGACTTTCTTGTTTGTGTTTTTGCTGTGTCATGCAGCTGATGAAACAATTACTTTTTAACTGCTACCAGACAGACCACTGAAATTGATTGAATGCAGACATTTGAAATTTAATTGAGATAGATCTTAAACCCAGCACAGATGTTTTTAACCTGTGCCTCTAAACCAGTCATTGTGCTAATCACCAGGGCTACTGTAGATTTTTGCAAAAGTTGTAATAACATGAGTATGTTTTCTGAAGATCACGGTTTTGTTAAAACTTTTACTGGAAGCAGTCAGATTAGTTTTATTGTACTTCATATCAGGAAGAAACAAAGTACCACCAGTGAATGTGGCTGTTTCTGCTGAATGTAAAAGACTCCCACAGTCAGCAGTGTGTCATATGCACAGGCATCCATCACGCTTCAGCTCTCACACTTCTATTCAGACTAAGATGTGTTAAGATGTGCTCACGGATGAAAACTTTCAACATAAAAATCAGCCATATTTTATCAGTTAGCTCCTCACCTTGAGTAACAGGGTCCTACATTAACACGGTATTTTCTGCCAAACATATTTCACTTTTCTCACTATGCATTTCTTGTGTGTATCTATGTGCATTGCTCAGTGTTTCAAGTGGGTGAGGTGAGGTTATTTATCCTTGATTATGTACTATTATACAGAAATACTAAAGATATGAAGCTTTAGAGGCTTTATAGTAAAAACATGCACTATGCCCAGCTCTGTTTCCATTTATGACTTTTGGGTGATTGTGAGGTTTTCATCAGTTCTAACCTTAATGTTTACCTCTTTAGTCTTTATTGTCTTTCACAGTGCTACACAAACCCACCTGAGCACTAACTCATTTAACATAATCTAGCTTTATAAAACTCCATGTAGGCTTCATGGCATTTCGTGATGTTGACATCACTCACCCTGCCTCTCAGAAACCTTTTACCCAGCTCAAATTAAACTGGTATTTGTGGGTCTGCATGTGCATATTTGCCCATCTGTGTGTACTTGTGTTTATGTGAAAATGTGTGTCTTGTTTGTCATCTGAAGGCCAGTTCTTTCATATGTTCGTCTGCCTTCTGGTTCTTTGTTAAACCCCTGCATTGCAGCACTGCCAGTGGGATTTCAGCAGGCACGGCACTTTTTTCCTCTAAACCTCCATCGTCACAACAGAGAGATTAAATTTGGGCCAGATTCCTCCTGTGTGCAAAGCTCTTCACTCACACATGCACATTTCCCAGTGTTCATGCGCTACGCTCCAGAGAGCTCAAGGCAGCTAAGAGTCCCCACAAGTCTCTTGTATGCTCCCTTTCCCCCATATGAATCCCCCCTCCTTCCCTGTCTGAGTAGGTGCAACAGTCACAGAGAGCCATGTGTCTTAGGGACAGACACAGACAGAGAGAAAGGAAAACATAGGTTGCCCAGGGGCTTTGCAATTCCAGTGCTGTATGAGAAGCTGCACAGTAATCTTATTAAAGAACTGGAAGGGCTGTAGTTTGGTGCTGAGTGACTCCAGTTGTTTGGACTACATGGTTCTCATCATCAAACTGATCTATTGGGCAATAAGAGGCAACATAAATGAGAGTGTTCTTTTCTTTTGGACAGCAGTTGCTTTTTCAGCAATATGGAATATTAGAAGAAATCTTTATTTCATGTCTCTTACCATAGAGTTGTTTAATCAATGGGACAAGCTCACAGCCATGGACAGGCTCAATAAAACCGACAGCCTTCACAGGCAGCCAGCACAATGCTTCAGGAGTAATTTTCACTTAAAAATGCAGAAAAAAGGCTCAACAGCTTGAGCTGTTGACAAATGAAAAAGAGCAGTCTGTCATGGTAATCTTGATAATAATGGTGTGATGATACTTTAGCAATGGAATCAGGAGATAACACTCGAGGAAATGTCACAGAACAGTCATTATTGGTGCATACAATATGTGATGGCTAGTTCATGTATAACTTTACTAGAATGCAGCCTGAAAAGCTTTTTCGTAACATTATATATTGATGACTATATGAACAGCAATTAATATGAGGTATAATTAAAAAAAAACCCTAAAAATAACTTGACTCCCTACACTGACTAACCAAAGGCAAAAACCCCAACATTTAAATTATACAGTCATACTTTCCTATCAAGAGAATGGTCCCTTCAAAATTCCTGTCTGATGTGTTACATCTTAAATGTATGTCCGATCTTTAAGGGCTTGCATTAGTTAGTTAGCTTATGATTTTCAAGATTTTATTTCTTTTTTGAGTGATACTTCACCTTATATTTGTCCTCATGGGATAACCATGTATTTCCGCTTTGAGGTTATGGTAAAATATTTTACATTAAGGTTTGAGATTCGCATCCGGTCTGAGTGAGTGTTTTTGTTTTTAGATTTTGAATTCAGTCATTGTCATTTGACATTACTATTTGAAACCAAGAAGAAATGCCACATGCATTCTTGGAGTGCTCTCCTCTTTGCCATTGTGGCCCTTCAGCTCGCTGCAAAAGACTCTTTGAAGGTTTCAGAGTGTTTGTATGAGAACTGCAGGTATTTTAGTGCCAGGAAATTATTATTCTTCTTGTCTAGAAATGCCTTTGAATTCAGTGGTCCCCTGCACAAGGTATATGAAACAGCTTTTTTCAGTATTTTAACAATGTTTGTTTTCATCATAGGCTTTATGGCACCAACAGCTTCAAATGATGATCTCCACTTGCTTTAAAGACTATTCCAAGGGGGAAATGAACTGTTTGAGTATGTTTAGAAAAGTAAAAATGAAGTACAATACACGTAATTCACAGATGATGTTCTGGTGACGACAGACTTAAACAGTTTGAGCTATTTTCCTTCACTGAAGTGCACAAATTGAAGTTGGTTATCTCTCCCTGTGGATGTCTTTCATGATACAATTACTATAAAGCAATTAAGTCCAGTGACTCATGAAATTGATTGTTTTGCCAAAATAGGAGAAAGAAATTGGGTCACAAACGGAACATCCTCAAAGGCCTGCAGAAGAACACAGGTGGAAAGGTTTTCAATTCTTTGGTCAGCAAACTGTGATTTGCAAGCATACTGAAGGGCACACGGGATCATATTATAGTGCTACTGTAAGAAAGCCCCTTAGATCTACCTGTGTCACAGTACCTTAAAAATAGTTCAACATATGGGGAAATAGGCTTATTTACTTTCTTGTTGCAAGTTAGATGAGACGAGTCCGATGTCTGTGCTTTAAATATGAAGCTACAAACCTTTAGTTTAGCTTAGCGCAAAGACTAGAAGACACAGTTAGTCTAGCTCTGTCCAGAGGTAAAAATATCAGTCTTTCATCACCTCTGAGGGTCAGGTTATGCTAGTAAGGAACTAGTTTGTTTGACTTTTTTATCCAACCAAATTTTCAGGTGTTTTCAGATTGGCCACACTCGAGGACATCATAGAGACAGAGGGACAAAGAAACAGACAAGGATAAATATGCAAATTCCAGACATTTAGGAAAACATTTATTGTGTTGCACTTGGTTGTACACACAAGAAGTGACAGAAATAGTTGTGTAGTAATTGAAAAAAGAGAGCAAGAGGTGTTTTTTTTTTTTTTGATGCATTACACTTTTTCACCAGTTTACACATTATATTTGTACTGGTTGCCCAGCAAATTCATGGTAATGAAAAAGAATAGTTTGAATTAAACAAATGAGGTGTAACGTAGGTAGAACATGTTAATTACTGAGCTTTAGAGGTGCTGGGGCCTGGATTTGTTTAGCTTCTGAAACAGCCAGTCTTTGTGCTAAGGTAAGCTTGCTGACTGTCGCTTCATATTTAGTGTACAGACATAATAGTCGGATTAATTTTCCTGGCAAGGCAAGAAATAAGAACATTTCCAAAATGTTCAACTATTCCTTTAACATCTGAGTATATAATTTTTTACAATAGATGATACAACAGCTAGGAATGTCTGGGTTTCCTTATAAATAAATGAACACTTAAAATATTGATAGAGTAAATGGTTGATGGGGGTAACTCTGGAACACTGTGGACATATTAGAGAAGAAAGATCTCAAATGAGAGACCAAGTCTAGAATATTTTAGAAGTTTATGTTGTGAACACTGTGTGGACCCATGGTTTAGAAAGCTGTCTTACAGTACATACAGAGGTCCATACTGCATGTCAGTTCTCAGCCATTTTTCAAAGAGACCGTGATTAGGGTGCTGCTACACTAATGACGATGAGTTAATTCACTAACTGATGAGCCGTTATGTGTAACAGATTCATTTGTCCTGCGCTTTTGTGTATCAGAACAGTTGGCTTCAAGCATATCAGCATGTGTTTGTGACAGGGAGACAGATTTCAATCAGAATCAGCATCAGCTTTATTGGCCAGGCTTTAGTGGACTTTGGTACTGTGGCTCTCAGTGTGTATGTACAATGTTGTTCCATAAGCCAACATGTCGACAAGTAAATAAGATAAGGCTGAGAGAACAAAGAAAGAAAAAGACAAAGGAAATTGCATTATATATACACAGTTTAGATGATATCAATATTCTTCTCCTGGCTCAAAATGATTTTTACTGTAACAAGGATAAGTGTTTGCGATGTATTGCCCTGGTTTATGAAACAAACATTTAACTGCTTTCAAGTCAGAGAAACACTGTGTGTTTACATAGAGGACTGAACTTTAGCAAAAGTTAGAAATCAGCTTCAAATTTGTCAAATTGCTCTCGGGGATTTCAGTTAAATCAGAAATAAAGATAGAATCCCAGAACTCCAAGCAATACAAATAAATCTTTGGCTGCAAGACAGAACTTTGCCCCTCTGACTTCAAATTATCTTTCTCTTTCAGGGTTTCTGAGTGACAACATTCTCACTGTGATTACCTCCAGCCACTTTTCAAGATTCAAGATTTTGGCTGTAAGTATCCCTCCAGCTAAGATAGATAGAGCTGAGCAGGCGCTGTGAACTCAAAGGCTTGGAGATGGGGTGGGAGGTGGGGTGTGTGTGTGTGTGTGTGTGTGGGGGGGGATTCTCAACTTCATCAGTGTGATCCAGTGTAATTGCTTTGACCACTGTCTTTGTCAAATCACTGCACGTTGTCATATGCCTCCCTCATTTGCAGATCCACTCAAAGAAATATCATCCACCCCTTGACATTTCAGACACCCAGTGCCCTTACTGTCCACTGAAGGCATGGCCCAGAAAGCAGATTGTCTGTGGCTGGATGTTTTTGATGAGCACTGGGGTGAAGTACTAATTGAACTGGAGGGAAAAATCTGTGTGGGGTAGTTAAATGCTGTCTGTAGAATTCAGTTATTTAAATTTCACACCAAATTATTTCAGAAAAAATATTTATACACTATCCATTCCAAAAAATGAAATCAGTACTACAGTATAGGGAAATAGATGTGAGCCTTGAGTAATCACATGTTTTGGACTCCACTAGGTGTCAGCATGAAACAACATGTGCTGGGTTTCCCCCTCTCTTCCATCTGTTCTTAGCAAAGCTTTGCATGTGCCAGGGAGGAGGGAGCCCTCAGCACTGTGCAGCGAGCAGGGAAGGCATGGTAAGGATGAAGGTGCAGCCCACTGTGAACAAGCACGATTTACTGTTGTACTGGCTCTTTGTGCGCCATTCTCCAGCATATTGTGCACACTCCAGCATTCAGCTGATTAATCCAAGTCATTTCTATGAGCGCCATTGTCTCAGGGGTTACAGAGCAAAGCTAATAAAACCAGCGGACAACAGCCGTGTCTGGAAGGGCAGTTTCTGGCCACTGCTTTTATACTGGCTCTGTTTGCCATTATTCGACCCTCATTACCTTGTGTCAGCCTCATCATTATTAGCATTGATCAGCTTAGCATCTGCTGAATGAGAATCCATGGTGCACGATTGGGTGCAGCTCTGCTGGAGGTTGTAGCTTTTGACTGCAGACTGCAGAGTCTGGTGAAGTTTTTGTGACTTTAATATACAGTAAGGAGTGACCCTTTATGTACAAGGATGTGATCCATTGTTAATATACAGTAGCTGCTTTAAATATTGTGTCATCACAATATATAGAACAATGTGCTTAAGATGGCATTTTCACCTGCACTATCCTTTCAGTGTGCAGTTGCAGCACCACGATTTGTAGCATTTTTTTGAACAGACGTTCTGAGACATACTATGGAAAACCTGCCACTAACAGAGAGGTTTTCCTCTCAGTCTGCCAGATTTAAAATGGGTCAACACAGTGAAACACAAAGCATTCATTGTTGGATTTCCTGACATTTGCAGCACCACATCCCAGCACAGACTGAGTAACAGATCTAATTCCTGACTGCCATCCACAGCACTGTACAAGGCAGCAGCCACTGCAAAGATCTGGAGATCGGGGAAGCATTAACAGTGCTCCACCGCTTCACGTTTAAGGCTATCGCAGACATAAGTCTTGAGACTTCATTTGATAAAAAGAAACACCAGATGCTGTCATATGATTGTGCATGTGTGCTATATCTTTTTTATTCAAATTTAGCTTTTTTTTTTTTCTTTCTCTCTTTTGGCTATGTCACCTGCAAAGGAAAGAAGAAACACAATCTTTTTGTCATCTTGTCTACTGTCTTATTTCACTCTTATCCTGTTGAAATTCTGTTGAATATTGTTTCTGCCTCAGAACTACAGTCACCTTTTTAAATACAGCTACGCAACTTTATTTATTGCACAAGAAAACCCACTGAGTTACATGTGATATTGTAGAAAAGCTGGGTGGGGCACTGCATTTTAATGGCTTCCCATAATCACTGACTAAAAGGTTTTAATACATGTCTGTGAGCTCCAGTGAGTTTTTTTCTTCCTTCTCCCTCAGTGAAAATATGCTGATGATTACTAGCTTGTCAGTGTATTTGGTGTCTGCTGTCGCAGCAAGAGTCAGCAGTATAAAACCATGATGAGAGCATTCATACTTGTCATCAGTTGCTATAAAACACTACCCTTCTGTGTTTTATGTTTCATGGGACAGGTGCCAGTGTTGCTCACCATCACTTTACCAGGAACACTATGAGTCTTGGTTGGATCAATATCCTGTTTCCTCTCTGACACGGAATAAGACCAGCCTGGGCCTTAGGGCAGTTGGCCATGAGATATCTCTTATGGTGTGGAAAAGTATGCACAAAGGAATACAAGCTGTCATAGATTCAATAGCAAGGCCTAAATGTCCCACCACACATTGTAGATGATGAAGGAATAGAAACAACTGAGCTTTATTTAGTCCAAAGTGCAGCTGAGGGCTGCCATTCTACTTTCACCCTACACAAAACAATATGGAGGCGGAGAGCTGCGAGAAGAGCTGAAACAGCCACTTTCTGGTTTTGTTTTTGCCTCTGTGACTACAAAATTTCTGCTGTCAGCGAATCCTATGAAAAGGTTAATAATGAATTTAACTTGTTAACATGCATTGTCTGTGTAACCAAATCTTGACTTACCTTATACCTCTGCACTGTAGACATCAGCGAGCTACACTGTTGCATTGACTGTCATGTTTCTTCCTTACTTATAACACTGCCACTCCTACTTTTTTAAAGATTAGTAATATATATAAACCAGCTTGCTGCTGTAAATACTCACTAACAACAAATGTGCCCACTGTATCAATCCACGATTGAAAGTAGTGCCCAACAATTGCACTACTTGCTCCTGTTTGAGTAACATTTGTTAAAAGCTACAATGCCCAGTTTTATGGAAAATCACTGAGCCTTCTTTAGAACTAAAACTATACATTTGTGACCATGTTTTAAAGATGCTCATTAGGAGTAAACAGACTTGAGGCTGGGAGCCACAGAAATGGTAGGGAAGTGAGAAAATATAGAGAGACCGACTAACACAATGTTGGTATTTTCATGGGATTCACTGGCAAGAATAACACCAGACAACCTTTTTGTCAGTGTGTATGCTTTAGCTGCCTATATGTTAGGTGGAGATATTAAGAGTATAACAGGATGCACAGAAGTGTACTTGTGCCATTTTTTTTATTTGTGAGTCAGCTTTGTCACCTTTCCATTTACAAGATTGTTTCTATTTCCAAACCACCAGCCATGTTCAGCATGGCTGTCAGTAGAAAGCAGGTATTGCCACTCACAGGGAATGAATTGCATTCCTCTCTCTACAGTATGTTTTGAAATTACAAAAGTAATTTATCTCTCTCTCTCTGCTGCCCTCCCATTTTTAGAGTTTGACACCTTATTGATTTCTGGTTCCACTGCTTATTGCCGGCCAATAAGGAGGCTGATTCACTCAGGGGACAATGATAATCCTTGGTGAGACAAAGTAATACCCAAAGGGCTCCAAACTGTCTGGTTCAGTGTTGGTGTTAAGTGAAAGAGTGCATCATGCCATTAAATTGGCAGATTTATGTAGTAATATGCCATCTATAAAGGGACAAGGCACTATGAGCTAAGGGTATTTATATCCCTACTCAAAACCCTTTTTATTAACCTTTAGGAGCTTATATAAAGCTGTATGAAAAAGAGTAAATGCAGTATATATGCCATATACAATAGACATATACAACCTACACATATTTGTGCCCTTGTCATAGGATTAAAATCTTCCTATGACTCTGAGAGTGGTGCAAATCCAAAGACACAATTCAGATAAATAGATATAGATGGCAGGAGAGAAAGAGTCTCAGCAGCAAGCTACTGATGCAGTAAGCGCATAGTGAATGACATGCTTCTTCTTGATTTGTCCTATTATCTAAAGGTCTCATCAACAGCATGTCATTTTTTTCTTTGTACTTATTTACATCTACTCTTTTTTCCATGCAGATGCAGCCCAGTAAGCTCAGGAACATATCCGAGCCCAGTAAAGTTCCAAAGCAACGGTGGTGTTCGAATAAGGGTGTGGGGGCTGCACGGACAATAGAGCATATGTCTCTACTGTCCAAGCAGCTAATGCTTTTGGATTGCCCTTACGTGTTGGACTGGGGCACAGACTGCTGCATACAGCACCTTGTGAGCAGCATCACAAATCAGCCGGCCAAGCAGTGAGCGCTGGAGTGGAGAGAGAGATGAAAGATGGAGAGACAGCAAGGGGTAGCAGGAGGGGAAAGGAGGGGAGGGGGATCCTTTCAGTGAAATGGATAGAGAGAGAGGAGAGAGGCAGAGGAGGAGGGGATTGACAGAAACAGAGGTGGGGGTAGTCACAGAGAGTATGAGTGAGTGAGTGTGTGTGTGTGTGTGTGAGAGAGAGAGTGAAAGAACAAGTAGTGCTGCAGTGGAAACAGTACGAAGAGGACTGCAGTTTCTGGTGTTGATGGGAGAGCAGTCAAGGGACACTATTTAGGCACTGTAACCCTAAGTGCCTCTGTGGTGAATGGGTTAGCCTGTTGTGGAGAACAGGATTACGGAATTACGATAGTGTTGGTAAGTGGGAGTGTTCAGCTCTCTTCTTAGCATTGCTTGTTTACTTCCTTTAAGGAATTTGAAATACAGATAAGGCGTGTGCTTGTTGCTGTAGTTAACGAGGCAGCACCTGACTTTCCTTTTTGTTGGTTTTACCATGATGTCCTGTAGGTGCTGTGTGCATGTTACTTCTTACTGCCTGTGGTCCAAACTTTACTCAAGCCTCATGAAAGGAAATGCTGAACATCCTCTGGGTTCTGATCTGCCCCAGGATCTAGCCATGGACCTTGTCTTCACGCAGTCTGTTAGGATATCACATCAGGGACATCGCCGCATGGATTTCTGGAAGAGGGGTGTAGCTCTGTATCTAAATTATTCTCATTGATCATGCCTCATTTAGCTTGCCTGGTGGGTGTAGCACCTCTTTACTGGAGAGTTTCCAGGAGGCTGCCCTGCTGACAGATTCTCTGCCTACCCCTTTAGCTACACCAGCATTTCTCACAACCTCCCTGAACACTGAGAAACAACCAGGTGAAGCC